TTACTTTTTTGCAGGAAAACTAGATTCATTGAAAAGTATAGCTCCTGGAATTATTGTAAACTATTGAGCGAAGCCTGTAATTAAAATAAAAAACTTTTCTTAAGATCATATTTTATTTTATACTTTAAGCATTTTATTGTTAAAATTCTTGCTTTATTTATTTAAAATTTTTATACTATTTACAGGTACACTTTTTTTTTGGAAAAGATATTTAAGATATATTTTGTTTATCTAATATATAATAAAATTAATGAATTGATAAATGGGCTTATAATTGTAGGATAAATAAGCTTTAGTGGGTAAGTTTCTATCAAGAAAAGCTAGTTGTAGGTTTTAAATATATAAGCATTATTTTCAAAACGTAAATAAGTTATATATTGAGTTGTATTATGCTTTAAAATAAAAATCTGTACTTAATTTCATCTATCTCACAACGTTTAAAACAGTTAAAGCACTCAATTCTAAAAAAATGTTTTTATATGCTTTTACTCTTAAGTGATTGCGCTTATAATTGATTAAAATTAAATTAAAAAAAAGTATTTTATTGTAAGGAGATTCATTGGACGATAATTGATTATAAATTAAACAAAGTTTTCCCACCATTTTGCTTTTTATATTAGCATTTAAAATTTTGCATGTAATGGCAGTTATTGTTTTACTGCAATATAAGAAGTTAAAATACAATAAATTACTATCGCTGATATCAGCAGAGTAAAACAAAACAATTTAGGCTCCCTAAATAAGAATTGTTATCAACAACATGCAGCAAAAAGCCTTTCAAGTTTAAAGCTATGAAAAATTCTAATAAAAGCAAGTAAGTGACTAAAAAAATGGCCGAGACACCTAAAATAAAGGTGTGATACCGGCAAGGACGGCATTCAAGTTTTCTATTGAACCAAGTTTGAGGTGAGTTAAGGGTGGTATATCAGCAAATAAGTTCTCCTAAGCATCTGAAATAAAGGTGTGATACAGGAGAAAACGGCATAGACGTTTTCTAATCAGCCTACAGTTAAGGTGCCTTAACGGCAAGCGAGGCAACGACTTGTGCCAGTGAATATATTCAGCTTCTGATAAAAAAGCAAAAAAGACATAACGGTACAATAAAAGCCTTTACGGCAATTTTCTCTTTATTCTGTGAAAAAATTTCCCCCCCCCGGCATTTAACAGGCAAAAATGGCAAAGCAATCCAGAGGCAACAAAGTAATTCCGGTCCTTTAACGATTGCCAGAAGTTTGCCAGAACTGCCATGCACTGGCCCTCATTTTGGCCCAGATTTCACTATATTAACGGAACCGATACGCTGATGAAAAGCCCGCCGTAATGGCACTTTAGGTGAGCCGACATTGTCCCTTCACTAGCCCAAAAGTCGTGTGCTTGTTGGGCTATAGTTATTATTCCAATGTCAGTATTTTTTCTCAGCCGTAAATTCTTCGGATCATCAAGATCGATCAAAAATAAACTGTCTAATGATTTTGCTTCTTCTTCAATTATGCTACCTTTGACAATATTTTTCATCAACTGTCTAATAAGAATGAAGCCATTTTCATACAAAAAAGGCACCATTGGTTCAGAGGTCTGAAATTTTTAAAGAAATGGCTGAAGAATATTTGAAATATAGGAAAAGAAGCTAACTTTAGCTAGAATCAATTTTTCCCTACAAGCACCTTTGATATTGTCACACGTCATGGATCCAGGCAAATCTTTTTTACTGAACTCAATGTATTTTTTTACATTGTCAAAAACTTTGAGAGCATGTTCGCAAACATTGAAATTTTCTACCCAGCGGATAGAACAAAACTTTCATGGAAATTCGGAAGAACCTGCTACTTCCAGAAAATTAGCACGTCTTGCTGGACTATCTTTAAATATTCCATACATTGCTCTTAGAGTAACATCTACTTTCCATCCAGTAGATTTGTGTCCATACTGCAACGCTCCGTGGATTATGTGTAGTTCACAAGTACCCAGGTTTAAAATTTTAGTCATTTTCGGACAAAAGTTCTTCGTTGACGTGTTTTAAAAATTTTAAATTGACGTTTGGTCTATCCATGCTGATTTGTAAAAGTATCTGTAAGTCTAAACTTAATATAACTTCCTTAAAATTCTTAAAGAGTTCTTGAGTTGTAGTACGTCTTAAAAATACAGAATTAAAATATCTTGTGGAGACTCTATTAGTTGAATCACACCAATATCTTACTATAAGGATCATTTGACATTTTTGCGAAATGCGGTTCAAAGCTTCATCAAAGCATATAACAAATTTTTTGTTCTTTAAAGATTTTTGAAGAGATTGTTGAAAAAACGGAGTTAATCCGAAACCGATAAGGTACGACATTTTTGTACGCCCCAATGTACACTTTTTGACTATTTCACTATCAGCGAACATTAGTGAAAATAATTCCGCTACATCATTAAACGACGAATGCGATGCAACGAGTTTTAATGCCCATAACAGTTCAGCTTTAAATGATTGTTCATGAATTAAAAGGTTAGTAATTGGTTTATTTCCGGACACCAAATCTTTTGTTTTTGGACTTGACGTATGCGCAATCCAAAATATCCGTTTTTCCGTAATCCAAAATTGATGGTGTCTTTTCGGAATCGGCACTTCGTTTTGTATAATTTTTTGTCTTCTTATGACTGGTAAGTGCTTGTCTCCCCATATTACTAAGGCTTATTTTCTTATTGCACAGCAAGCAGTACGCAGCAAATGGATTTTTCGGAACTTCGGTAACCCATGCTGCAAAGTCGTGATTGATAATTTTGTCCATCCAATCTGTATTGAAAATGGACTTAGAGCAGTTTATTTTTAAAAGAAATCACTAAGCAACTTTCATTGATAAAAAATACCAACAAAATATTCAACATGTAAACACACAGGTGAGCGATCAAACAACCGCTACACCATTACGCAACAGCAGATGGAATGTTGCCACTCCCGCGAACGCACGTCTATATCGCACAATTGCATATTCGACGAGAGGGAGAGACTCGTATTTGCGCATGTGCAATTTGGGAGTTTCTAGAGGAGAAAGAGAAACCCCTCGAAATTGGTCTATGCAGAAGATGAGGGGAGTGACGGTGGTAGAAATGGATGAGCTTCCGCGCACGGATCAGCAGATGCTAGTTTGTTTTTGGAGCGAGCTATAGCTGCGATCGTTTCTTCTTATGATTGTTAAAGAGATCGGCATTTTTCAGAGAAAAAACTAAGCAATTTAAAATTCCCTGTGTTTTCCCGGTTTTTAAGGAAAAACGCGAAATTCCCTGTTTTTGCATTTGACTTTTAAATTCCCTGTATTTTCCCGATTCTCCCGGTGCCGTACAACCCTGTGTTATCTTAAATCTTCGTTCTTTGTTCTGAACTCAATCTATTAATGAAAAGAAAACATGAATAAAAAAAAAAGATTCTTCATTGTTTATTTTTTTTTTTTAATTATTGTTTTTCATTTTAAGCAATACAATTTAATAGGGGTAGTTTGTTTTTAACTTTGTTATAAAAAGTTGGTTTTTTTAAAAAATTTATTTAATGCACAGAAGTATAATAATTTGATAGAATTTGAATATTTTTAAACAAATAAATCTTCAGTCGTTCTTAATTAAAAAAAAATTGGCTATTAGTGAAAAAAAATTTTTTTTTTAATTATATAAAAAGTTAAGCAGTGTTTTGACCCTTTTTAATAATTTAACAATAGTACTTAAAAGTATTTTCTTATTTTAATTTTTCTTAAAATTCTTTAAGTACTTGTTTGTTTCATAATTTTTTAGACAGTTTGTATCATTCATTAAGTATAGAATTAGACCATTAGTTAATAAAACTTTGTTATTTAAATAAATAAATTAAAAAAAGTCTAACAATGCTTCAAAAGCACATTTTTTTTCAACAAATAATTTAAAAAATTATTTACTAAAGAGAAAATTTCTTTAGTTTGTTTTTTTACTTTCGTTTTTTTTTCCTTTTAATTTTTAATGTATGTATGTAAAATACTTTGTTAGTTTTATTATTATTTTTAAACCAATAAATCTTAAGTCATTTTTATTTTTAAAAAAAAATTAAAATAAAGCTTGGGTTTGTTTTTACTTAAGACATTTAGTTTTGTAATAGATTTATTCCTGTTTTTATTTTTGATTAATTTAAAGATTTCCGATAGATAACTTTTGAACATATGCTAAATCGCGATGTCTAACAGATGATGCATCACGATATAAAATTTCTTACATCACCCAGTCCCACTTGTTACATATAAGATGACAATATGCATACAATGAAAATTTATTTTTACTTAGAAGCAAAATCAACTTTTATGATCAAAATATGTAATAGGCGAATGAAATATGAATTACCACCAATGATTTTAAGCTTCTTGATTTACTGCACAATCATAATTTTTAAGGCAGGAGCAAATTAATAAACCTTTTTATTATGATTTTTAATATTTGAGTCTGTAAGTTTGTACATGCATAGTTTATTTAAAAACAAAAATTGCTTATAAATATTTAAAAATGGGTCTATTTTATAACTGATGCAATCTAAAAATATAAGGTATATAATGAACCAAATAACTCAATTGATTTTCAATAAAGTAATCTTTTAGTTTTTTTGTTAAAGTCAAAATAATAATGGGGTTGAAAATACTCATCAGGGGTCTGTCTAGATTTTTCTGAGACGTACCTATTTTGTGAAAATTTATACATAATTTGTGAAAAATTATATTTAAAAAATCAACACAAAAATATGGTTAAAATAAGGATTTATCGTTTCTTAAGGGATACAAAAATAAATTTCAAGAAAAAGTATTTTGTGAAACTACCATTTTTCCTAAAGTTGAATTTGTGAAGGTGCCGCTAAACGGTAGTAAATTCGGCCTGGATAGACCCCTGCTCTTAGACTTCATTAACAGAAGCATGGCAAACAAAATAGTACTTTTTAGAAACCTTATCATTGGTAAATTCAGTTTTATATTAAAACAAAAGAAATTATCAAGTATTAATCAGATACTCACAGTATGTGCATTATGAATTCTCTTGACTTCCCAATCTCCTTCTCCAGTGCTACTCAAAATTGAAATTGATCCATCAGATGATCCACAAGCCAAAATAAGACCATAATCACAAGGAGCCCATGATATAGAATTCACTACAGTAAGAAGATATAATTATAATAAAAATTAAATTAGTAACTAGGTAAATCAAGAAATCATTAAAAAATGAAATATAAACTTATACTAAAAACCTATTCAAAGATGTAGTACAGAACTATATCTGTCTGGTATATGATTTATCTATCTATCTGGTATCAGCTAAATTAAAAAATTTACTGAATTCAAAATATTTCTTTAGAGATGATTTCTAGTACAATTGCCTAACAAGGAAACAGTTTCAAGTTTTGATTAACATTTTGTAGTTTTCATATAAAAACAAGAAAATTAATATTTTGAAAGTTTGGAAACTGAATATAATTAAGGGTCTGGGGACACTGTAAATGCTTGATCACAAAAGTTGCTCTCCTGGACAAAGCCTCCCCTTTTTATTATGGGTCAGAAGACAAATTTGAAAATAGAAGGCAATTTTTTATGCACACTTGCCAAGAGGGTTTACATTTGGCCTTTAAGTAATTAGTTTCAAAGCTCAAATTTGAACTTAAAAACTGAATTTTTAGCTTTGTCCTTGTAGTTTAGCAGCTATCCTTTTTGCGCTAGCTATATAAAGGTATCATGCACATTAAAACTTAATACAAATTTTTTTTCAATCAATGTACAACATAAGATATGAAAAATATTAAAATAGACAAATTATAGAGATTAGATTTTTTTATAAACATATTACTGAGCTTATGCATGATACCAAAAATACTAGTATGAAAATATAACAATTATGTTTTCCTTAAAAATGTGTTTATGCAAGTTTAATACTTATATTATTAGTAATACAAAATTATTATTGGGTTTCATTTAACTTAAAGAATCAGAGAAGGGGAGCAGTACTATTATATGAAGTCAAATAAATATACACTTAAGGAAATGAAAATACATCCTGAAGATATGAAGTTAAACTTAAAACATATGTATGAGAAATTTATATATGATATTAAGATTTGAAATTGTATTAAGGAAAATACATAATAATAAATAATTAGAAATTTTGATAAATATATTGATATTATAATGAGATAACAGTTGAAAATTTCAATATGATGAAATTCTGCGATATAAATTTTTTTTAAAACTCCGTACTAGGGTTGCACAACTTTTTTGAGTGAAGGGCCGTTTGCCCAGCATGTTGATTAATGAAGGGTCCCATGCCTATTTTGACATTTCGACAGCAAATATAGTAATATATATTTAAACATTAGTGTTCGAAAAACTAATTTTTTTTATTAGTAAACTTATTAATATATTTGCAGAAAACTAAATTATTTTAATTATTAGAATTCGTTTAAAACTTTTTTTTTCTTTTCCCAATGGCAGGCACTGAATTTGAATCTTTGCCTATGAAGATGCCGGAATTGTTACTCATTTAGCGTTACCCAGTGGGCACCTGTGAATCAAAGTCACAGAGGCGAGCAACATTACCCACGCCACACTGCCACAAACCCGTTTATAGGGTAGGTCAAATTCACACGTCACACACAACAGAGGATAGCACACAGAGAGAGAAACATCCATGCCCAGAGCGGGATTCGAACCTGCAGCCAGGCATGCTAATCGCTTGGCCACCTGGCCGGCTTGTTTAAAACTAATAATATTTTTAAAAATTTTTCCCCTCTTTATTATATCAGGGGTCTGTTTAGGTTTTTCTGGAAAATTTAGACATAATTTGTGAAAAATTAAAAATGATATTTAAAAATCCAACACAAAAATATGGCAAGAATATGGATTTATCATTTCTTAAGGAATAAAAAAATTTTTTTTTAATAAAAAGTATTTTGTGAAACTACCGTTTTTCCTAAAATTAAATTTGTGAAACTATCGTTTTTCCTAAAGTTGAATTTGTGAAGGCACCACTAAACGGCAGTTAATTCGGTCTGGACAGACCCCTGTACATTAGATTAAAAAAAACATTGAAGAGAAGAAATGTTTTTTTTTTATGTTACGTCATATAAAAGTTCATTTTAAAATAAATTCCAACAACAAAAAAACTGCAATACACAAAATGAAAGTACAAAAAAAAAAAATAAAAAATTAAATACATATTAAGTAATATAAATTCAAATAAAATTTTTTAAAGATTTGAACAGAAGTCTAAAATAAAAACAAAACTGTTATAGTTCAAAATAAGATTCAATACTTATTTGGCAATATACTTTAGATATTATTTCTTTTTATATTAAATAATGAGATTTTTTAATCTAGTAAACACTTTCTTTCTCTTAAAGCAGACTTGCCAATTACAGCGCTTTTAGCAAAATATTTTATAGAGTGGTAGGCATTTAAAATCCAAAGCTTTCAGAATTTTTGGAAATTTTGCCAACATTTTAAAAGTTTTACCACAACAAAGTGGCATATCATGTGAACTTTTAAATAATTTATATGTAGTGGTGTGGAAAATAAGTTAAGATGAATAAAAAATTACATTAAAACATAAACTTAACCATCACTAGAATAAATTTTTACAAAAAGCGTAGAAAGTTGTCAGCCCTGCTAAAGAAATCACTTAACTAGCAACAAAAAAGTGAAAATAAAAATTACAAAGGTTAAACTCACACTTTCCCCCATTTTATAAATTTCTCCCGCTGCATTAACCAGGGATGTGATTGACAAAAAAGAGGAAGTTTATAACTGCAGCATTAAACGTGCAAAAGAAAAAATGATATGAATTCAATAGCCAATCTGATAATGATTACATTATTATCTATTCATATAAATAAATGGTAATTATGTTCTTAAATAAAATCTTGATTAAAATAATTTTTTTTTCATAATTTAGATAACTGAGTAATTATGCATAAGCACAATTTTATGTATCACATCATTTTAAAAAAACATTTCTTTAATGGTCAAAAGACCTTTATGGACTTTCTCATCAGTTCTTTGTTTTTTTGATGGTCTTTTATTAACATGACTGATCTGTAGACTGCGTTTTGCAGACTTTTGATCATCCGTGTTGATAGGACAAGAAAGTTCATTTCTCACACAATTATTAGAGGCCTTAGATTAAGAATCGCGATGTTGGATTGCAAAATCGCGTGAATAGGAATCATGATGCTTGATTTTATAATCGCGTGAAAAAGTATCGCGATGCCGGATTTTAAAATCGCGTGAATAAGGCGATATCGGATTTTAAAATCGCGATGTTGGATTTTAAGATTGCGTGAATAAGAATCACGATATTGAATTTTAAAATCACGTGAATAAAAATCACGATATTGGATTTTAAAAGCACGAAAATAAAAATTGCGGTATTGAATTTTTAAATCGCGTAAATAAGAAACACGATGCATAATTTTCAGAGTCCGTGAATACTTATCGCAGCGAGTAATGCTTAAACCGCGTATAAATACGAAAATCGATGTTTGATATTACAACCGCGTGATAACGAATCGCAATATTGAAATTTAAAAATATATATGAATACGAATCGCGACATTGGATTTTAAACTAGCGGGAATATGAATCGCGATATTGGGTTTTAAAAACGTTTAAATACAAATCGCGATATTGGGTTTTAAAAACGCTTAAATACAAATCGCGATATTGAATTTTTAAATTGCGTGAATGGGAATTGCGAGTAATGATTTTTAAATCGTGTAAAAACGAATCTCAACAAGTAACTTTTAAATCAGTTAAATACGAAAATCGATGATTTACATAAAAATCATCTAAATAAGAATCGCAATTTTAGCAGATTCTGGCCCAGTTCCTAATATTTAAAATTCTGTAAATCAGCCAATCAAAAGAAATCAAATATCAGCAGCCGAAACGAAACTGCTTAGGCCTTTTTTTTTCATCGTTCGTTTGACTCCCCAAAAGTTTTTGGAACATGGTCGGAAATTTTAAAAAGTCTTTCATCCCTGAAAAGATAAGAGAGTAGTGGAGTAGGAGACGGCGTTGTTTTACCAAGGTCAACCACTTATACCCCAGCCAGCAGATTGACATGTGAAGAAAGGTTTATTGGGGGCTTCAATACTTTCGCTCCGCGGAAGAAAAAAATTTTCAACAAAATATAATTTACTGCATAAAATTTTTTTCAGCGCGGAAATTTATGAAAAAAGAGCGGAAGATATGGAAAAATCTGAAAAAAGCTGAAATCAGCGGATCCGCGGAAGAATCACATCCCTGAAACATATTAAAATTAGCAATGTAACAAGAATTAGTCCCTTTTGTCGAAAATTTAGTTAGCTGAATGATTAGTCAAATACTCCACAGAGTTTTAAAATTCATGTGCTTGGACACAGTTTTGAAATGTATCTTCTGTAAAACAAATGAAAAAGCAAAATTTAAAGAATTGCAACCAGATAACTTCATACTAAACCACAAATTTTTGTACTTCTGCTTTTTTTAAATTATATTCAGGCAAGTAAATTTCATCATTTTTTTTTACACATTTTGCTTTTAGAATTGAGAACAATTGTTTTTTGTTTCATTTCTGCTGGTTTTCTGTTATTATAATAGAGAGGCATTTTCACAGAATGTTTCAGATAGACTATTAGTTTATTCTCACTTTCTTCCTGCACTGTAACTTTAACACTGATAACCGGTAACACAGAAAACTGTGATTTTCAATTCTAAGGTTACGTTTTAGGAACTAAGAACAAATGTTTATTTTTTGTTGTTGTTCTTTCTAATTAATTTTTCATTTTGTCAGTGTTTTTATCATGATACAGCATTTTTTATTTTCATTTCTAATAAACATTATTTTATAGTAGTGGTGCACAACTTGCGGCCCGCCAACCCTTAACGTACGGCCCGTGGCAGCAATCTGAACAAAATTTTAAAATAATAATTTTTCTTTTGAAGAATAAAAAAAAATCGGAAATTTGAAATTTAAGTTTTTGACGCACCCAATCTCAATCAATGTAGTTTTTCCATCGCTATTTTTCGATGGTTAAAGTTACGGATTTACGAATAGTTTTAAAAAACCCTATATTTTTAATACGTCATTATTACGACACACGAATTTCAAATTTTAGTTATCACT